GGGTGTGGGGGACAGAAGGGGGTGTGGGGGACAGAGAGAGAATGTGAGGGACAGAGCGGAGTTTGGGGAGGAAAACAGAAACATGAGGGAAAGAGGGGAATTTGGGGGACAGAGGGGGATGTAGGGATAGAGGGTGAACTTAGGGGGACAGAAGTGGGTAGAGAGGTTGTAGGGTGACCAAGGGGGATATGGGGAGACAGGGAGACAGGAGGACAGAGGGTGCTGCTGGGGACAGCGTGGTGCGTGAAGAGGAGGCTGCAGGAGTGAAGGGTGGATGCTCTGGCTGTCGGGTGGCATGGGCTGAAGCTGCTGTGGGCAGAGGGCACACTCCAGGGAGAGGCTGCTGGCCAGCAAGAAGCTGTCAGGTAAGTGGCCCTTGAGGAACGCTGGACAGGGTTACAGGGAGAGGCGGGAGTCACGGGCGGTACAGAGGAGGCCTGGCCTGGCCTGGCCCCATGAGGACAGCCCAGGTCATCGGAGCCCAGGCTTATGATTCTCCATACTATCCCCTTGTTCATGAGCCCCAGGGACCCTGGCCGGGGTTTCAGTTCTGGCACCTTCCTCAGCCCCCTAGACTGAGGAAGGGCACTCAGGGGTTGGGGTCACATCAGGAACCAGGGTGGCCCTGAGTGCAGGCTCCTGGGCACCATGGGCAGGGCCCCTGGGTGGGTGTGAAGTCTGGGGCTGGGACAGTGATGAGCAGAGAGGGTCTAGGGACATGGGGGGCCTCAGACATAGGAGTGGCACTCAGAGGGGCCAGACAGACCCTTTTGGGAGGGGCCTGGGGCTGGACAGCGAGCGGGGAGTAGCAGTGGGAGCAGGAACCGTGTAAGGGGCTGGGCCCCTAAGGGAGAAGCCAGGAGCTGCTCTGCTAGTTAGGGTGAGAGCCCACAGGAAGCCCCACCAGGGCAGGACGCCAGACTGCGGCGCCGGGGCAGGGTAGCTGGGCCGTGCACGCAGGTGGGAAGCTGCTGAGCGCCGGCCATTCGCAGGGAGCTGTCCGGCAGCAGAGGCGGCAGGCCTGGGGCTACTACTTACATGGGGAGGGTAGGGGGCCTAGGAGAGCCGGAGACAGGCAGGGCAGGGGCCCCGCTGAGAGGGGGCCCTCGGCTTCTGGGGTTCCTGAGCCCCTTCTCACAGAGTTCAGGATGTCAGAGATCCTGGGGGCTGGGGTGGAACAGATGAGACGTGAACATGAGGCAGACAGACATACGAGGAGGCGGCAAGGCGGAGGAGGTCAGTGGTAGGGGTCCCGTGTTCCAGACCCCTTGGGGCCTGGGGTCAGGCCCCGAATCAGAGCCTGCCTCAACAGCAAGGAGCTCCCCCTTCCCGCAAGCTGAGGTGGAGTGAGGCCTGTGCCAACCCTGAAGACTGGAATTGAGGCCCGAGCCTCCGGGGCCTCCTATCCTGCCCAGTGGCTTTGAGCAGGAAAGTGGTCCAGGGCCTACCTCACAAAGAGGTGAGGCTTGATGGGCTGGGGCCGCCCTGGGAAGCCCCAGTGAGGGGTTGTGGGGTGATGAGGCTGGAGCCAGGGTCCATGCTCAGCCTGCCCTTGGCTCTGGAGCGGCCCCTCTAGGGGGTTACCAGCCCTCCAACATGACCCCCACAGCAGCAGGGCCCAGGCTACTTACATGGGGCTGGCAGGGGGCTAAAGGGAGCTGAAGATGGGCAGGGCAGGGGCCCCTCGGCTTCTGGGGCTCCCGAGCCCCTCCTCACTGAGCTCAGGATGTCAGGGACCCTGGGGGCTGAGGCGGAACAGGTGAGGCAGGCAGGTGTGTGGGGCGCCCACAGGAAAAGAATGCAACTGGAGAAGGACAGGGGGAGGCCAGGAGGGAGGAAGGGGATGACAGCTGGATACCTGGGGCTCCTGGGGTGGAGGTGGGGTGGCCACCCTATGGGGGTCCTGGGCCTGTGGTGGCCGCAGCAGTTATGTGAAGGCTGAAGGAGCCAACACGGGGCCAGTGCCAGAACCAGCAGAGGCCAGGGCAGCACAGGCCAGTGCAGGCTGGCATGGAGTCAGAGGCCACCCTGCCACCCTAGTGCTGTGACCACTCCTGGCCAGAGCCAGCAGAGGCCAGGCCCACAGAGGGGGAGTGATAGTCATCGTAGGGGCATGATGGCCACTGGGCCTGCCTGGACTCTGTACCAGCCTCAGGGCAGCCTGGCAAGGTTTCTTTCTGCACCCGGTGGGGTGGGGGGTGTCTGCCTCCACCTCAAGAGGCTGCTCGGGCTCAGATCTGAGCCACAACTGCTGCTTCGGGGTGTCTTCTCTTCTCCCCTGCAGGATCCAGGCTGGGCCCCCCTCCCAGGTCCCCTCCCTCACTGCTCAGCGCCCCACCGGGCTGAGGGTGATGGCAGAACCTCTGGACAGCCTCCATGCTGTCGCCTTTCGGGCCTGTTCCAGACTGCAGGGGAATCACACACCCACTCTGTGGCATGCAGGGCCCGAGGTCCTGTGCTCATCTCTGCTCAGGGACAGTGTCATAGCTGGATAGCGTGGGCAGGAGCAAGGCTAAGCTTTGGACAGGTGAGAAGTTTTCTCCCCTAAACTGGCAGAGTGGCTGACCCTTGTCAGGCACCGGGGCAGCCCTGAGAACAGCGTAGGGCTTATTAGGTGACTGTGTGAGTGATGAGGGTCAGGAGGCCCCATGTGGGTGGTCTGGAGGCAGCAGACTCCATGGAACTTGCCCCAGTGCCGGGTGCCCTGGGGGCCTCTTGAGGAACACACAAGACATTGGCCTGGGTGAGCAAGGGAGGGGGCCCTGGAATCTGTGGTGCAGAAACCCACCGCAGGAGGCCACTCCTGGTTCAGCAAAGGCAAACACGGAAGCACCCACCCAGCTGCCCGGCCACTCGGCAAGTGCACGATGGACAGAAATGCAAGCTTAAGGAGCTTTAAGACAAGGACAGCATCTTGGAAAAAGTTCTACCCATGAACCTGTTTCCCTGTGAGGGTCCTGGTGTGGAGAACCTGCCTCTGCGCAAAGCCGTGGCTTCCTCACTTGGATGCGGTGACTGAGACTGCCCGGCTGCCAGTCATCTCTGCCACACTTCCCACTCTCTGGGCAGGCCTGACACCCAGACTTGGGGTGGGATTGCAGCTACAGGGCCCCCGAGCCCCCCAACACATGCAAACACCAGGCATCGCAGGAGAGCTGACCCTGCACAAGTCCCACCCGCCTCAAAGAGCAGCCCAGCAGTGCCAAGGCCGCTGCGGGACAAGGACGCAAGTGCAGGTACCTTTAGCGTCTTCATCCTCTATGGTGGTGTTGGCACTGTCAGAAGACTCCTGAGGAAACACGGGAGGCAGTGGGTCAGGATGCGGCCAAGCACAGGTGGGACGTGGCTGAGGGCAGGTGGACAGGGCTGGGCCTGCATCAGGACCAGCCCAGGCTCTGAGGCTGACCTCTGCCCCAGCTGCTTTGACCGGGCTTAAAGGCCAGGGGCTCAGGGGACATGCCCTCTGGTGGCTGCAGTGCCCCAGCTCTGTGGACCTAATGCGGCAGTGACTGGAGAAGACACCCAGTTCTGTGCTGGTCCCTGGGAGGGTGCCCCTCACCAGGGCGCATTCTCATGGCAGCCGGCACAGGCTGGCACAGAGTCCGAGGCTGGCCCTGCCACCCTAGTGCTGTGGCCACCCTGCATCCCCAACACATGAGGGTTCCAATTCTCCCAGCAAGATGAGCCTGGCACAGAGACTGGTATGCTCAGCCGACTCTTTAACAAGACAGGAAAACGGGCTTTTTGAAATTCCAAGACGTAAAACACAATGGGACTGGCTGGTTCCAATGAAGCAGCAGCCGCTGTCATCCAAAATACAGGGTGAGGTGTTTCCAGTAGCTCTGCAGATCCGCACAGGGCTCCAGGAACCTTGGCCTGGCCCCAGGCAGAGCACTCCTGCCACCCACATTCCCTCAGGGCACCTGCCCCTCCGGGACTGGACGTCCAGCCAGGCCCCAGCCTCACCTCTCAGGTGGCCTTAGAGGGCAGAGGTGGCCCAGTCTCTCCCACCCTGCTCCAGGGATGCTGCCCTTCAAAAGACCATCCCCCAGCTCCCCAGGAGGCCTGCTCTGCTCCTCAGAGGAAACATCTCACGAGGTCCCTGGGGGACCGCCACCTGGTCTGGACACTGCCTGGACACTGCTCGGGGGCCCTAGACCAGAACTACAGGTCTTTAGGTGCAGGGTCAGAGTTCACCACAGCCCAGAAGGTTGTTTAGGAGTCTTGCAGAGAACATGACCCACCCCAGACACACATGGGTCCCAGGGGCACCCATCCCCAGCTGCCAGGTGGGGAGAACACCCAGGTCCTGGCCTAGCACCATGGGTGCCCCTTGGTCCCTGCCATGGAGAAAGATGTCTTCTGATGATGGGCTGGGTGGTGGCACTGGCCAGAAGGAAGTGGGGGTCCCCACAGAGGCACTCTGGGGGCTCTATAAGGAGCCCAGGCCTAGGTGGGAGCTGGGCTGGAGGGCTGTGTTGGGTGTAGCGGCGCTGTTTTGGAAGTCCTGGAAATGGCTTGGCTGCTGGCCCCATCCCTCCCACCACCCCAGAGAGCCAGCCCCTTCCCTGGCCCCAGAGTGATGATGTCAATGTGATGGGAGCTGATGGCCAGAGCAGAGAGGGGAGCAGAGGAGGGAGGGTCTGCTCAGCAGGAAGCACTGGGGGCCGCGTGAGGGAGGTGGGGTGGAGGATAGCCAGGAGGGTCAAGGACACAGCTCCTGAGATGCAGGCCCCGCTCCAGACCTCAGGAAGCCCTACCGCCTGCGGTGGGTGGGATACACGGAGCCCTGGTCTGAGAGTGTCGGCCACATGGGGACTGGGTGCAACTGTGCCAAGCACCTCCAGGGGCACGCCTGGGGCCTGAACCAGTCTGTCGTGTTGTTGCCCACAAAGATGGACTGGGGCCCTGCTGTGCTGTGGGGAGGGGCGGCCAGGGCCATGGGACATCTGCCATCCACTCTGGCACAAATGCTGCCCCAGACCTCTTTCCTGGCCTGGAGCCTCCTGCCTGGGGAAAGCGGGAGGAGGAAAGGGGGGCAGTACCTTAATCCCGTCCACTGGGTTATGGATGACGGTGGTTTGAGGCTCCTACAGAAGAAGGAAGACACAGAGGAAGGAAAGAGAGGGAAAGTGAGAAGAGGAGGAAGCAGAGACCACCAGGAGGGGAACAGGGAGACAGAGGAGGCGTGGGTGGCCAGAGCCTGCGAGAAAGAAGTGCAGAGCAGAGTGGGGGACAGGGATGGAGGCGGCGTGGAGCAGCTGCGGGAGGAGCCTGGGTCAGACGGCAGGGATGGAATGGACAGGAGCTCTGTCCAGGCTGGCGGAGGTGCTGCTGTCCAGGGCAGGAGATGGACTGCGTGGGGCCCCGACAAGCTGCACAATGTGTGTGGGAGCCAGAGAAGCCAGGCTCGGCCTTGGGGAGTTCTCCCCACCCTTTGCTGCTTGAACCTGTGCCCCAGCGTGGTGGGGGGCACAGGTCTGAAGATGTCATGGGGGTGGGGGTGGCACATGGGATGGACAGGGTCCGAGATGGGGCTGGCTGTGAGGCTGGCACATGGGCCACCCTGGCCACTGGAAGGCCTTAGGTAGGCTGGCACCAGGCCACCCTCCAGCCATGGCCTGGCTGCTCTGAGCAGCTCGCCCCTCCCAGGACCGCTCTCCTCTCCTGGGTCTCAGGGTGGCCATTTGGCAAACCCAGTATTCCTGTGGGTGGTCTGGGGCTGGCTCCCGAAGCCTGGCCTGGGGTTCTCAGGGGATACCAAACCTGCTTCCAGCAAATGTGGGGACCTATGGGCCAGCAAGCCCCAAAGCTCTTAGGACAGCTGAGGGGACACAGCACAGTGCCCCAGCAGGAAGGCCGGCACCCACCAGCCACAACTTTACATCCTTGGGAGTACTGCTGTAGGGTTCACCTGTAGGAGCCCCCAGGGCAAGGGGCACTGAGGGGCGCAGTCGGAGCGGAGCATGGTGGGGATCCCTCCCCTCCCCGGCAGGGAGCCCCTAAGTCCTGCCTCTCAGGCAGCCACAGAGCAGCATGGGTGTGCTAGCTCCTGAGGGAACACAGACGTGATGGCAAGCCCCCTCCTTGGATGGCCCTGACCTAGACACCTCTCTACTGCACCACTGTGGCCCCGTCTCCCCACGGGTCATGGAATGTGCCACTATGGGCTGTTCCCCCTGCAGAGCCTGGCCCAGCCCCACCAAACCAGACCCTGGGAGTGGTCTGTGGGTCGGCCTGTTGAGGATGGTGGGGGAGCTAAGGGTGGGGTCCTGGCGGGGAGAGGGTGTCCTCTGCCTCACTGACTTCCTGAACACTCCTGGAGAGGCATCCACAAGTCAACATGGGTGGGAGGCTGGGCCTCTCCCCAGTACCCCAACATCTGTGGGTCTCAGTCAGGGGCTCCCCGGAGCAGCCCTAAACCTGTCTGAGGTGGAGCCTCCTGCAACAGTGGCCTCTTCTCTCCACTTCACCACTGGTGAGGGATGAGGGGCGGGGGCCATGCGAGTGCTGTCAGACAGGCCAGGCGGGGCCGGACCCCACCTTCACCAGGCCCCCTCTGACCAGCAGCAATCACACAGCCAGGGGCGTAGGAGGGGCTGAGAGGCAGAGTTTGAGGAGCTCAGTACCAGGGCGGCAGGAGGAAGCGTCCCTTTGGGGCTGGTGGCGGCTGCACTGTTTTTGGTGCTATTCGTCTGGGGCTGTGGAGAGAGGGAAGAGGAACCCTTAGGCGGGAGAAGCCCCTCACTCGCCAATTCCCCATCCCGTGTCTGCCAGGATATGGGGGGAGGGGGACTCCAGAGCAGGAGCCCCAGGGAGTGGGGGTGAAGCTGCAGGCTCTGGGCCCCCCGGCACCCCAGGGCCCAGCCGGAGCCTCACCTTGACTCCATCTGCTTTCTTGTTGAGTAAACTCTTGGCTGCTGCATGGGGAGGAAAAAGGCATGGTGAGTGCTGGGCCTGGGTCTCGCTGCAGCGCACCCCCACCCCTTTGCCTGGCCCCACTCTTTCCCCAGGAGCAAGCCCAGGGTCCTGAGGCAAGTGTGGCTCCAGCACCCAAGCTGGCTCTGAGCAGGTGGGGGGCCGTCCCGTCACGCCAGGACAGCCCTGTCTCCAGCCTCCTCCGTGACCCTGGGGCTCCTATAGGCATCCGGATTTCTCCTCTGACCAGACCCAGAGATGCGCGTGGGTGCTCGGGAGTCCCATTGGCTTCTGGGCCACATGCAAGCTCTTCCTAGAGGAAGGCAGGATGCTGCCCCCTCCATGATGGGAACTCAGGACTAGCGGTGCCAGGTTGGGGTGGGGGCAGCTGAGCCAGCACCCCAGAGGTCATGCCCTCCCAGGCCACGCCATCCTGGGGTAGGGGTGGGTGGGCTGCAGCTGGCCGCCCACTCAGAGGGCCTTGTCCCAGCCCAGGCGCTCACCTTGCTCTCAGACCCCCGTACCTTGGCACCCAGGCCTCAGAGCTCTGCCCAGTGGGCCTCTCAGCTCAGGCACCGAGGGCAGCCCTGCTCGCCCTCATTCCGAGCTGCCCGGCAGCCCTGGCTTTGCGGCCGCTTCTGTGCACTGACTGGGGTCAGCACAGGCCTTTCTGCCCACAAGCCCCTGAGGACACTTGGTCCCAGCAGCGGGGTCTCCGCCTCACCCAACACTCCCCCGCAGAGGTCAGGAGGGCCTGGCCCCAGCCCCTGGTGCCCACACTCTCCACGGCTGTTAGGATTTTAATTACAGAACTAATAAATTAAAAAATAAAAAATAAACCAAAAGAGGAAGTCAGCTTACCTTACAGAAAAGGAAAGGTGAGAAGGGGAGGGAGTGAGGAAGGAAGAGAGAGAGAGAGAAAACAAGATTTGTGTTGGTTCGGGAAGGGGCACAAGCCTGCGGGCCCAGGACTCACAGGTGACCTGTCCTGGACCACACTCACCAAAAAGAGCCGGGGCCATGCGGCCAGCCGGTGCAACAGGGTTAGAGAGGCAGCCAGGCTGGAGCCCAGGGGATGACGACGTGGGAAGTGTAGGGATGCTTGCCCCCGGGCCAAGCCGGAAAGGAAGGTGGCACAGCAACCCCCCCACCCCTCCCCTACCTCCTGGCTCCAGGACCCTGGCTGGCCAGGCCGTGAAATTGGGTTCTCCTGCCTGGGGACCCCGGGCTGCCCATACAGGCCTTGGTGGGGACAGACAGGCACCTTTCAACCTAGGACTGCAGCGCTTCTCAAATGGGATCCTTCCCCCACCCCAGCAGCAGCAGCAGCAGAATTGCCCTGTACAGTCAGAAATGCAAATTCCCAGGCCCACCCCACCCTCCTGAGACAGAACCTCTCCAGGGCGGGACATCTGTTCCATAAGCCCTCCCGGTGGTTCTGACGCTGGGTGCTCCAGGTTGCCATGGAGATCAGGAGGCTGCACCCCGCAGGACACAGACAGGCCTGGGCCTGCTGCCTGCTGACCACCCCCTCCCTGTCCACATGCCCAGTGCTCCTCCTCCATGGCCCTGGCCCCTCCTGGGCTCTGTAGGGACTGGGGTCGTGCCTGACCAGTGGCTGCACGTGGCCCCGGGGACCCCATGTGCAGTGGGCACAGTTTCTATTCCCAGCCTCCCTTTCTTCACAGATCTCTTAACGCTCAACAATTTTGTATCAAGCCCAGGAGTCCCTCCCAGGATCCATGGAGAAGTAGAGGGGCCTCAGGCATCACTCTCCCGTCCCCAGGCCTAAGGCCCCACCTGGTGAAGCTGCGCACAGGACCACCTCCCTGATTCCCCAAGGCAGCCCTGCCCAGTGAGTTCCCAGGACCAGAAATGCCGACTGCCCACTTCCTTACAGCGCAAACTGAAAACTCTCCCCTTCGCTGTGGCTCAAATCTGCTTCCCTGTGGCTCAAATCTGCTTCCCTGTAACTTGGCTGTGGAGGGAGAGTCTTGAAGACTTAGAACTCAGGGTTCCAAGGCCCCCATAGCCCCCTCACCTGTCTGTGTATCCCGCCCTCCCTGCTCCCCTCCCATCTCCAGCACACACGACTCATCTCAGAAACATCTGCCCAGTGCCAGCCAGCCAGAGGCTGCAGCTAGGGGATACTCTCCTTGCTGGTGACCAGCTACCCGACACGGCTGGGAGACAGGCTCCTCTTAGGAGCCCGAGGAAGGAGGCATCCAGCCTCGCCTTGAGGACATTTGTCGTGGGGAGCTGAACAGGCAAGGAAGGGACCCAGTCCCTTTCAGAAACACACATTTTAAAAAGCTGTGGCCAACTGAAGCAGGCGGTGTGCAGAAGGCAGGTTCTACCCACCCCCGAGGGGACAGCCAGGCACGCAACCTCTGCCAACCCAGCGGCACGTCCAGCCAGGCTCTGCATTGGAACTGGGGCCAGCACGGCGCCCCAGTCAGCAGCGGAACTGAGCTCTTTCCCCGGGCATGTCCTCAGAAAATCCTCACAGGAAAGGAGGCAACACAGTTAGGCCCATCGGCAGGGTTGACAGAGACCCCGGACAGTCCTTGGTACTGAGGGTTCCATTTAGATCCTTGAGCTTATCAAAACCCGCATTTCCAAACTGTGCTGCTGGAGATGTACTACAGCAGCAGTGGGAAATAAAAAGACAGAAGTTCACAGTCCAGTGGGCGGCAAATGCCACGTACAAACCAGCCCTCATTGAAGGACTCAGGCCAACGCTGCCATCAGTGCTCTGGGAAGCCCTGCAGCAGACGCCCCTGTGGTCTCAGTCAGTTCCCAAACATCCTTCCTTGTGAGCTCGCTTTTGCAACAATCGCTTGTGCACGCCTTGGGTGAGTGTGGGGTGCACAGGCCCGGCCCTCCCAAGCGCATGGCTCCTGGCCACCCATTTTTTGGGGGGCTGCTCATTTCATATCTCTGCCTGGGACTAACTACAGATTCACCGTGGCCAGAGTCCTGTTGACACCCATCTACACTAGCGTTCAAGGGCACGGGAACTGCCTTTCTGTGTCTCAAGTTCAAAGCATGCGTTAGGTGCCGCAGGAGCCTAGAGTAGGCGGAGCAGTCACAGGCATCCCAGATACCTGGGCTGGAGGTTCCGCAGGCCTCTGTGGGACAAGGAGAGACCCTCTGCCCTCCATCCTGGGAAGGCACTGCCCATTCCCAGGTCTCCAGGCCGGGGCAACTGCTGCCACCCTGCAGCTGGCCGGACACTGGGTCTCCTATGCCGTTACACCCGATCAGTGCAGGAGAGACCACAGAGGCCAAACTGAAGCACACTTGACAGACGGGGTCTCTCTGAGGGTCAAGGGGGCTATGCCACATGGGCTGGTACCAGACTCTGACTGGATGGTACCAGACTCAGCTGCCATGGGCAGAGAACTGAGCTCCCTGCTCACTGCCGTGTGGTATGGCTGAGCTGGGCTGACCTAGCAGGATGGGCGGTCCCCTCAGCCCCGCCTCTGCCTTGTCCCCCTAGCTGGTCACCCAGGACAGCCATGCTGGGCTCTGTCCACATGCACTGACCACCCTCCAGGACAGAGCCGCTCTTGGCGCCCAGGGTGGAGCCACACATGCAGGGCCTCATGCACCGTCGCCCCACGTTCACTTGCAGGCAGGCGGGCATTGCAGCGGGAGCCCCAGGCACAGGGCAGCGTAGAGGCAGCTGTCTCTCAGCACTGTCACCTGGGCAGCAGCACCTCCCCAGAAGCCACTAGCCTCACCCTTTTCTAATCACAGCCCCCTTCCGCCTGTGCTCTGGAAAGGCCTGTCAAATGGAGCAGACGCAGGAGGGCCCTCCCGGGGTGCTGCCTGCTAGACACATCCACTGGGCTCATGGGAGGAGAACAGACTGCCCTCCCTGAGGACGGCCTGGGCCTCCCCAGGAGGAGGTCTCTGGCTGGGAAGGCCAGGCTGCTTACCCTGTGGGGTCATGAGGAGGCCTGGGGAAGGCAGTCCCCAGCACCCTAGAACCTCTGCTCGGTCCCCAGCCCATGTTGGAGGCACTGACAGGGAACTCGGTAGCTCAGCCCAGGGAGGACTTGGGGTTAGCCCTTTAACCCTCTGTGTTCTGTGGCCAGGCGTTGCCAGCTTGGCCTAACCTAAGTTCTCACCAGCCCTCAGCTCAGACTGGAGCTGCAAGGAGGTCTTGGGGTCACTTAGCCCTCATGGGGTCTGTCCATGGTCACAAGCCAGCAGGTGGGCAGAAGCCAACCTGGGCCTCTAGGCTCTGGCCCTGCACAGCCCAGAGGAGCAGGTGGGCAGTGCCGGCCTTCTTCCTCACAGGGTTTGGTGCCAGGGGAGGAGGACTTTGCAGAAACAACCCAAGAGGAAACCCTGAAAGTCTCCTCTGGGTTCCTAAAAGCCCCACCCCGCTCCAGAGCGGCCTGTCCTGGGGGGAGGCTCGGGGCAGACATGCACGTGTGGGACTCAGCAGCACAGACCACCGTCTCCGTGCGGCCCCCAAGGGGCAGGGTGTGGGTCTGCCCCAAGGGCCTCTGCCTCTCTGGCCCTGCTCCCCAAGGCTCTCCTTTCAGGACTCAGACCCCCCAGCAGCAGGCCCAGTGGCTCCCTGTGGGGCCCAGGCCATTCTTAATGGGGGTCTCCAGACCCCCAGACCTCAGGGGCCAGGACCAGAAGGGCTTGGTGTGGCCCATGGGTCACCTAGCTCAGCCCCTCCTCTTACAGGCGAGGAGCCTTGGGGGCTGCCTCCCTGCCCTTGCGGTGGGCTCTGCTGGGATGTGACCACACGGGAGCAGGGGCTCCCGGGGGCCTGGCGGCCTCTGGGGCGGCTCTGGAGCCCAGCCAGCGGCTGTGTGCAGCAGGGGGCTGCATGCTGGCAGGAGGGATGGGCGGGAGCGGGCGGGACGCTGGTCGAGACACATCTACCTTGTTCCACCAGCCCCATGGTGGTGCCGGAGGCCGCGGTGGACATTGTGGCCGGAGCGGTGGTCTGTCTGCCCACTGTTAGCACCGGGTTAGAGACGAGGGGAAGGGAGGGGTGGGCGGACACAGACGAGGGGTGGGCGAGGTAAGGGAAGAAAAGAGACAAAGGAAGCAGAAGAAGATTAGAGTTAAAGTTTAGGTGACAGATGGTTCCAGAATCCTTTGCTCAAGAGAGTGAAAACAAGATTGGACTGATTGACACGGAAAAGCATTTGCCTCCTTTCTCCTTAGAAAACCCCAGTGGGGGCTTCTCGTGCCCGAAGGGTGTGGTGAGCACACAGCAGACAGGACAGTCCTATTAGTGTTGGTGTGACCGTGTGCACGCGTTCCCGGCAGTACAGCATCACAGCAAAAGTAACAGGATGGCGGGTGGGGGGCGCCAGATGCAAACGGACAACGAGAGAGACGGATCACAGACGCTCGCACACGGAGTGTCGGACGACGGAGAAGCCACGGGCACAGCTTGTCCAGACCTGGGCTGCCGGCTCCACTCCGGGGCTAACGTCATGCCCCAGATGGGTCTGCCAGCGCCCTGGGCCTCAGGGGTCTATAACAGACCCCACCCCTCCACCACACCCCACACCCCACCAAGAGAACTTGCTTCCCAACCACCCACTCTGAGCGGCCGGGGCAGGAGGCTGCAGCTCATCCAGAACTCGGAAGGAGGACCCTGAGCCTCCCGCATCACCCCGCATCCCTTCTGCCCTCCTCCCGCACAAAACACATTGCTCAGAGCACTCAAAATGACAAGGAGGCCACACAGATGCCCGACAAACGCCTGGACAGACACACACGATGCTGTGAGCCCCAGTGGGGCAGCACAGACGCTCGTGTTCACGGGGTGGAGGGACACAGACCCAGCACGAAGGTGATGGCCTCAGGGGGCTGGACCCTGTGGTATCACCCAAGGTGGGAGCCCAGAGGGGCCAGGTGGGCAGTGGGTCTCAGAGCTGAGTGAGGCAGACGCCGAGGGAGGGCCTGCCGCAGAGGAGGGGTGGAGAGGCTGGTGAGGAAGGAGGCGCTCTCCTGCATGGGCCAGCAGGGATGGGGCAGCCCCTGTCTCTCTGGAGAAGAAAGGCTCACCTGAGAAATTCCGTGTGGCCAGCATAGTGGTGAGGATGGCTCCCTGGGGAGAGACACAGATAAAACCAGGGCTGTCCCATCAGTGTTCCCTGCTGGCTTCTGGCCAGGATAAGACCCCTGTCCTCCTGCCCAGATGCTCAGACTCATGGTCATGAGGCTGACAAGACCTCAGCCTTCCAGAGAGGCAAGAGCTCCAGGAACCCAGCAGCCGCACTGAGGCAGATCACCTATTTCCAGAATTACACACACCCTGGGCCTAAACCTGTTGACCAACTACAGTTTCTAACTGCTTCAAGACCCCTCACGCCTCAGTGGTCACCAGAACAGCTGGTCACCTTGGCAGCTCCTCTGGGGTCCAGCTCCCTGACAGCCCCTTCCTTTCCTGACAGGCTCAGACAGGGCACCAGTCCTGGGGCTTCTGGGGAGAACCGCTCAGAGACCAGCAGAGGGCAGTCAGGCAACAAGTCCCCAGCCTGGAACTCACGAGTAGAGTGCGGTCACCGGAGCCAGCCCTGGCCAAAGCAGGCAGGTCGGATACCCTACTGGTGCCCACCTCCCTCCCCGACCTCTCCCGGCCCACCCAAGACCAGTGTGTGTGGCTCCGCTCTCCTTACCAAACCTGTCTGAGCCGGAAGCTTCAGACTTGCTTGTACTAAAGAATGTGACTGCCAGATGGTGCGTATGAGGAGCCTGCAGCCAGCACTTCAGGACGGCCCCTCCAAGGGCTGCTCAGAGGTGGCACAGACAACTAGGAGGGGCCACACCTGGCCCACGGCCCCTCTGGACTCGTTCCCAAGCTGGCCTGAGTTCACCTGATGCATCCAGTCTGGGACTTGCTAACAAGTCCTGGGGGCAGCAGCAACCCCTAGGTCTGCCCAGACCCTCCAAGGCCCCTCTGCTCCAGCCCAGAGGGACGCAGGGAAGCATGGCCATGCCTGGGACTAGGGGCCAGGGCCTCACCTTGAGCTTTCTCCTGGCATTGAACTTTTTCAGACACTCCACAGTCTCCTGTCTGTGCATCATGGAGGCTACCGTGGAACGTTGCTGTGGGGAAAGGGGTGGTCATATGGCAGCCAGGAGCCCAAGGCACAGGGGAGAGGCCAGGGTGGCAAGGCTTGCGGCACCCCGGGGTCCCCACATGCCAAGAGCCATCAGCCACCACTGCAGCAAGGGCCATCCGTCCCCCCAACCTGCCTGGGATTTAAGACTTGCCTTTCCCTTGCCTCACCACTCTGTCCCTCACAGACAGGACTGCAGTTGGGAGGAAGGGATTGCTTCTACCCTCCAATGCCCTCCAAGCCCCAGGCCTCACAAACGTGCTGGTGTGTCCCAAGCCAGAGGCCACAAGGAGCACCCAGGGGACCCAGGGGAGCTCTTGGGTGTCAGGAACAGGACTCTCTTGGGGCCCTCGCCAGGGGAGTGGTCTGAGGCCACCTCCACCAGGAGCCCCCTCCCCGCCACTGGCACCGAGGGCGACTCACGCAGACCCACGGATGCTTCAGGGCCTCATGGGCTGTGATGCGCTTGGCAGGGTTGATGGTCAGCATCTGGTTGATTAGGTTTTTGGCTTCAGGAGTGACAGTGTCCCATTCGGGGGACGGGAACTGCAGAAGGAAACAGTGCCCCAGCCAGGCCTGAAGTCCCCTCTCGGGCAGGGGCCAGAATTCTCCAAGGGGCTTCATCTCTGGCCACCAATCTGGGAGAGCACGACCCAGGACCTGGCCACAGGTGGCTTCACCCTACTCCTGGCCTCTTCCCATGCTGCCCTTACCCGGCCACACCTGGAGGAAGGGAGCACGTCAGAGAGGGGCCAGTGCACTCACGTCGTAGGCGCCGGCCTTGATCTGCTGGTACAGCTTGTGCTGGTCCTCGTCCCAGAAGGGTGGGTAGCCCACAAGCAGGATGTACAGGATCACCCCTGCGGATGGGGCCTGTGAGCACCACAGCCACTCGTAGGGTGCCACCATCCATGGAGCCCATGCCCTGCACCCTCACTGCCCAGCTCCTGTGGCCCTGGGAGGGCACTGGGGTCCCCAGCATTCCTTTGCCCCCACCTGTGCTGCAGACACTGGGGCAGAAGGGCACAGCCAACCCCTCCACACTCTGCCCCACACCCAAACTATCATGGGGATGCAGATGCGGGTGGCGCTAAGCCCCTCTGCTGCTACCCACCTCTGTGGGAGGATACCCCTACCCAAGAAGGGGCCCTGCCCATGGCCCAACAGTCTCTGACCTCTCCTCTCCACTCCCGTCCACCCACCACACCTCTGGACCAGACCTCTGCTGAGCGCAGGCAAGCACTGGGGTGCGCCAGGGTCATGTGAGTGATTCTGATCTGGGTGGAAAGGGAGCTCCTGGCTGCGTGGGCAGACCCCTGCCAGGGCAGCTCTGACACAGATAAATCCAGATGAGAGCAACACGTGCTGGTCACTGCACACTCCAGGATGTAGTGGGAAGTCCTAAAACACCCGAGGCCCTGCTCTGCACCAACTCAGGCCAGGCCTCACCACATGCCCAGATGTCCACGGGCTTGCCATACGCCTCTTTGCGAAGGACCTCAGGGGACAGGTAGCCTGGTGTGCCAGCGAACCCTAGAGAGAGGGGAAGAGGCCACGAGGGGCTGTCACACCACCTCCTCCCTGCCGACTGCCAGCCAACACACCCTGCCCCTGGCACTCACCAAACCACGCCTGCTGGTCCCCCTGCACCTCGATAGCCAGGCCGAAGTCTGCCAGCTTCACTGCAGCCCCTTTGCACTTGCTGGCCAGGAGCAGGTTCTCCGGCTGCAGGGAGGTGACCGGCACAAGGGTGCACGTTGTTTAAACCCAGAGGTGTTATGCAGGGAGGGGTGGGAGGTTACAAAACAAAGAAAACAGTGGTTTGCAAGAGACAGGTGCACAGGTCTGAGCCCTGCCCCACGGTGTCTGCAGGGCACAGCTGAGCCTTCACCCCAGAGTCCCAGATGCTGAGCCTGCAACCCCACAGCCCCTCTGCCCCTGGGGACAGAGACACAGCAGCTCTGGCCTTTTAGAGGAAAGCTGGCTCTCAGCCTGAGCTTGGATCCCCATACCCTGAAAGGGCGACCTGGGGGCCAGTTGGACCAAAACCTCAAGCTCATCCTTACAAGCAAACTGAATGTTCCCCACAGCTCTGGGGCAGACCGTGCAGTGGCTGAGGGCTCCGGTGGCCCTCGGACTCCCACTGGCTGAGGGACTGCAATGGCCCTCCCTCTCCTCCCTGTTTCCCACTCCCCAGAGACATGTGATGTCGGAGGCTCTTGAGGGGAGGTTCAGGTATTTCCTACTGAGATGGTGACCTCCCAAGGGCAAGGAGAAGCACATAGGGGCCTCAGCACTAGGGGCAGCCCAGGACATCCACCCACCAAGTGCCCCTGGCTCTGGTCATCTCCACTACATGGGGCAGGAAGGAGGCCCCTGCAATGAGCCCCTGCCCACTGGGTATCCACAGGTCGGGGGTTACTCAGGCTCTGACACAGGGAGCAGTGCCCTTGCTCAAGCCAGAAGGACACCTGCTCCCTGTCCTGCAGCAGCGCCAAGGAGGCTGCTGTCCCCAGACTGGGGACACTTGGCACTGAGGGCCTGAGGGGGTCCCAGGGCCACTGCATCCCGTGGGGCCTTCCTGTCCCAGCTTTCAAACCCACCAGGCTCTGGTCTACCCATCAGCCTCACCACATCCCAGCGGTGGGGTCTCTCAGCTGCAGGCCTTCCTTGTCCGTGACCAGCAGGGGGCGTCCCTGGAGCCCTCAGGTCCCCTTGGCCAGCCTCCCAAGCCACCCCTTCGCCCTGGTGAGTGCCCCGTTGTCCTGGCACAGCTTCCATCTGGCGCAGTACCCTCGGGATCACACTGCTGCTTGATGAGCCGCCAAAAAAGACAAAACAGAGCCACTCCACCCGCTTTTAACACTGGTTGTAAACCTCAGAGATCTTGAAATGTGAAAAAGTGGCCCCCAGGATGAATGACATATGCTATCCCCATGTGGAAAGACTGCCACAGCCCCGAGCTGTGAGTGCCCCTCAGCAGAAACCCAGAGCTTCCTTGAAAGCTCCAGCCACGCTCTACTGAGCAGGCGGGATGAGGCCGTTTGCTCCCTTGACAGGGCAGCACTGGGGGCTTCTGTCCCCCACTTCCACCTCCTCATCACTGTGGGGGTCCCAGTCTACAGGCATCCCTGTCTACCGAGCACCAACCCACAGGCCTCTGGACACGGTGATTTTGCCAACATGAGTGGGTGGAGGCCCTAAGCTCCCTGTGCAGCCACAGGGAGAAGTTGCACAGAGGAGGGGCGGGGGCTGCATTTCTCCATCCAGCCCAGAGCAGACTTGCCGCAGGTGCCCCTTTCCCGGAGGAAACAGACCAGCAGTTCTTCTGAAGAGAAGGAGCATTAAGTGAACATGGGCTGTAGGAAGCACTGGGCGAGAAGGCCTGGAGGCTCCAGGGTAGCTCTGAGGCTGTGCCCACCCCTGCTAGGCCACCTAGTGCTGCTCCCACCTACAGCTCCATCCTGGCTCTTTTGCAGCTCCCTGGGATGACATCAACTGCCCTCTGCTCTCCGCCACCCTCCCCCGTGGGGTAAGAGCAACCCCATCACTCTGCTGCTTCCTGGGCTGTCACGATCAAGATGGTGGATTTCCGTCCAGGAGAAAAGGACATCCTGTCCCCCTCAACAGGAGGTTGAGACACCAAGAATTCTGTTTGTCCCTCAGATTGGGGAGGAGGTACCATTGACCTCCACTTCTATGCCTTGGCCCCAAAGTTAACCAGATAAATCATGGGGTCTGGTAACAAAATGCCTGTGACCCCTTACAGGAGAACCACTGAATCCTAGCACCAACCCATGTGGCCCCAAGAGGAGCACCTGGCGGCCGTCTCCTCCCAGAGGCGCCTGAGTGAGGCTGACTCACGTGAGACACAGCAGGACATGCTTGGAATGCAGAGATGAGAGGGAGCAGGGGGCACAGTGGCGTGTAAAGGGCATAGGAGAGGGTCCCAGATCTGCTCTTGGTGTGGCGCTCTCCCCAGAGCAGTGCAAAGATCATCGATGGCCTAAGGAAGGGTGTGACCCCCATCCAGCATGAAAACCAGTGGGCAGGTTGGTCTTAAATGCCTTCAGGGTGATGGCCCCAGGGTCTGCACTGCTTGCCTGTCTACAGAGAAGCAGCAGGCTGAACCAAGCCTTGGGGAAGGTGGGGTTGAAGAAGGAGGAAAGGAGATTGGAAGGGAGGAAAGAGGGAGGAAGGGAGAGAGGGAGGAGCAGAGAGACAGCTAAGCTTCTGAGAGGCCACCCTGTGCCCTGGGGGGTGACCAACCTTCTTTCGAAGAGAGCCTAGAACTGTTTTGCCCAGACCTAAGCTGGGGGCAGCAGAGACTTGGAGAAAGGGCTGGGAGGACTTGGCAGACCCTGGCGAGTCCTGATGTCACCACCCTGCTCCCAACAGTGTCAGCCCTCTGTTACCTGTGTCCCACCTGCCAGAGTGGAGTCTCACAGTGAGACCCTGAGTGGACATTTGTAACTAGCTTTCTCTATCGCCCAGGCTGGAGTGCAGTGCAACAGGCTGATTTCTGAAGACTAACCTCTCCCAGCCCTGAAGGTCCGGAGGGGAAAGGAGGGCCATGTGCAGACACCCCCCCAACACACAAGTGCACACACATGCACATGTACACACATGCCCACAAGACATGCACACACATGCATACACGCACACATGTACCCACATATCACATTCACATATGCATTCACACAAACATGCCCACACACGTTTGCACACACATACACACTTGTACACACAAGCACACACATGCATGCACGCAGTCCCCACACACATGTGCATGCACAGATGCCATATGTATACACACATGCACACAGGCACACATACAGACATGCAACCACTCATGCAGACATACGCACTCACACCTCTATGTGTGCACATACATGCACATCCCCGCACAGGTGCAAGATGCACACACGAGCATGTATACACATGTGCACACACACACAATGCCTCCACCCAGGCATGCACATATGTATACACGAACCTCCATGTACACACATGTATGCACACGCACACACATACTTCTATGCGCATGACACATGCACACTTACATACAGGTGCACACACATAAGCATGCACACATGCCTCCACACATGCACACACATATGCACACCCTCCACACAGGAGGTGCACACACATACACATGCACATGCATGCACACACTCCATGCATGCACACAAGGACACACACATACACCTCTCTCCCTCCAAGCTCCACAGTGCCCCACACTGTCCAGCCCCTCACACTTCTTTGTACACAGCATGCAGGTACAGACAACAGACACCTGGCACAGACTGGGGTGGGGACTCACCTTGAGGTCTCTGTGGACAACCCCCATTTGGTGACAATGGAGAACGGCCTCCAGGATCTGCTGGATGCAGTGACTGTGGCAAACAGCAGGTGGGTTAGTGCGAGTGGCCCCGGGGAGCAGCAAGAGGAGGCACTGGGGGCAGGGGCAATGGTGCTGTGTGGCCTGGGGTACCAGGGGGACAAAGCGAGTCAAGTGGGGAGGAGATGCTGGCCAGGAGGGGCCTCTGGAGCTCCTTCCTCACCTCCAAGGCCAGCAACCCTGGCCCTGGCCCTGCCTTCCCCTCTGGGTCCGTATCTGCTCAGAGGGCACAGCCAGGCACACAGAAGTGACTTTCAAAGGAAACACCCCTGTCCCCAGGCTCCTGCTGGCCAAGCCTGACCCTAAGCTGGGCACCCTCAGGAGGGAGGCCAGGCTGAGCCTGTACCCTGCAAGGCGGGCTGAGGTGAGTGGGCCGGGTGAGAGGGCTGGAAAACCAAGACAGGAAAGGGCCAAGGCGGCTGGGGGTGGGGGCAGACGGCTGCCTGGTGAGTGACAAAGCCCCAGGCACCAGGACGCTGCTCTGTGCTGGAGCAGAAATAATGTGCTCAGGCACATGTTATTTCATTTTAATAAAAAGTGAAACCCGCCTGGGCGTGGTGGTTCACACCTGTAATCCCAGCACTTTGGGAGGCCGAGGTGGGCGGATCACCTGAGGTCAGGAGTTCAAGACCAGCCTGGCCAACATGGCGAAACCCCGTCTCTACTAAAAACATAAAAATTAGCCGGGTGTGGTGGTGCATGCCTGTAATCCCAGCTACTTGGGAGGTTGAGGCAGGGAGAATTGCTTGAACCCAGGAGGTGGAGGTTGTAGTGAGCCAAGATGGCTCCACTGCTCTCCAGCCTAGGCGACAGAGTGAGACTCCTTCTCAAAAAAAAAAAAAAGTGAAACCTAAGCTTCCACATTGGCTGGTGGCTACCGTGTTGGGCAGCTCAGTTCCAGCAGCACTAGGGGCATCTAGCTCAGCTCCCAGGGATCTGAGGGGCTGGGCAGGGGGCTGTGTGTGCGCAGCACTGAGCACACGGAGCTTCCCCTTCAACCCTTCCTCTCATAGTCAGGGAGGGCTGTTGGCAGAAGTCCCGGGCTCTTCCAGGCCATGACTGGCGGGGAGGAGAGGTCCAAGATGCTCTCAGGCCACCTCCCTGACACCTGTCCTAGAGCACATCAGACCCTGGGCCACGGAGCCCCTGCACACACCGAGAGCCTGTGGCTTGAATCTGCTTCTGCCCAGGTGCCCCTGGAGCCCAACACAAGCCCCTCCCTGGGGACAGCTCCACAATGCAGGGTGATAGCAGCCACCACCTCCGAGGCTGCCCTGCTGGGCCTGGAGGCATTTGCCACAGGCTGCCAATGCCCACCTGCCTGGGGTCTCAGCCACCGCCCCACTGGGCAGGGTCAAGGGAGGGACGGGAAGACCCCCCTCAAGACCCTTCTATCGCAGCCAGATCCTTGGGGACAGGAGGGTGACCAGGGTCAGCAAGATGAGTGGGCTTTGTTTTCCTAACAGCAAATTCAGAGAGGACACGGGAGGCCAGCCCTCTTCCTCAAATAGCTCCCACCCCTCCTGGTCCCATCTGCACAGCGTCAGCCATTACATTTAAAAGTGAATCTGAGTTTCCTTCTGAAGAAACCCAGCCCTCAGAGTCCTAACGGGTAAAGGACTCCTGAGGTGTGTGGGGTCAGGAGAAACCAGGCCCAAACTCATGGGAGACAGCCCCTTGGTGGTGTCACTTCAATGTCACCAGAGTGGGAGCCACAATCCTATCTCCATGCTCCATGTGCCCTGGGGTCTCCTGCCTTCCCTCCTCCCCATGTGCCCTGGGGTGTCCTGCCCCTTTGTTGAAACACCCTCCCTTCTCCCTGGCCTACACCTAGAGACTTCTTCCTGGCCTCTTCTGCTCCTGCAACTCCCGTAGGGGGCTGTGTCCCTGAAGTCAGCCCATGACAAGCCTCTATGAGGGCCATCTACTTCCCATGATGCTCTCATCTGCCTGGACCAGCCCCTCCTCCTTGTTCCTGAGGGGGCCTGGCATCTGTTCCTTTGAATGGCCAACTGTGTCCTGGCAAGGCCTGTGAGCCTAAGCATGGCGAGCTGGCTGTGGGGGCTTCCCTCTGGTGGGCAGACTCAGCCTCCCTATGGGACGGGAAGCCTGGGCAGCGGGGGATGAGGCTGTGGGGTCAGATATCCACAGCCATCCAGATGGGTCCAGATGCAAAGTGAGCTCAGTGTGGCCCTCCCAGGGGCCAGCCGGCCCCTTCATGCACTGCTGTGTGGTGTGGACGGTAGCAGCGCTGGCCAGATCCTATGGTCAGTCTTGGCCCTGGTTTGTCCTGGGAAAAGCATAGATCTTGGGCTCCTCCTGTCCAACTGTGTGCACTTTTCCCCAGCCCATCCTCGTGGTCCATCACTTCCCTGAGGGCTGGACTTTCCTCTGCCCTTAGGCACTATCCTGGTGGAGTGATGTGTGCAGAGGTTGTGGTCACCAGGAAGTGCTACCTCCTTGGACACCAACATGCACCCCACAGACTACTGCTGAGGGCGAGAGTTGAACCTTCCTCATCGACCTTCTTTCAGCCTCAGACTTACTAAGTCCTGGCCGCAGCTCTGGCCATGCCCTGTATCCTCCTTCCTCCCCAGATGTCATCGCCCCCTGACTCCACACTTGGCTCACCCAGTCCTCCTCGGCCTCCCCTGCTAGTGGTGCAGGGCCCCAAACCCATGCCAGAGACAGGGGGACTATGGGGCCAGCATTGGGTCTGCACCTCTCCATGGTGTCCTTGAGGGTATGATGGGGACTTGGCATGTGTTGCTGAGATCAAGTCCACCCCGTCCATTGTCACACAGGCTCCAGGCCCTGCAAACGCATGCTCAGGATCGAGTTGGCTGAGCAAGCCAGGGGTTCCCAAGACAAGGCTGCACCCAGCAGGGTAGGTGGGATGGGACAACCACCTGGCCTCGGACAGTTCATTCAGGGCGGTCCCTGCACTTTAGGGACCTGTCCTTATATTGCCCTTATCCTGGTATAATCTCAGACTATGGCCCTTGGAGGATGTGAGACCTCATCGTCACGCCATCTATCTGCCCTCACCTTCTGTTAACATCGCTGTCTTCTCTAGGAAGGGCAGATCCCCGCTAGGTTTGGTTTTGTTTTTTTCATGTTTTGAACAGTTTGTAAGATGTCACTCTTGTGATTAGAACTGTTTCCAAGCAGCATTTGGGACGTTATTCTCAGCCTGGGCTCTGATGTCCTCCCCCTCCGGGGACAGTCAGCATTGCACACAGTCCCTTCACTCATCTTTCAGAAGTAACATTGCTTTTTTTTTTTTTTTTTTTTTTTTGAGACGGAGTCTCTCTCTGTCACCTAGGCTGGAGCTCAGTAGCGCGATCTCGACTTACTGCAACCTCCACATCCTGGGTTCAAGCGATTCTCCTGCCTCAACTTCCAGAGTAGCTGGGATTACAGGCATGCGCCACCACGCCAGGCTAATTTTTGTATTTTTAATAGAGATGGGGTTTCACCATGTTGGCCAGGATGTTCTCGATCTCCTGACCTTGTGATCCACCCGCCTCGGCCTCCCAGAGTGCTGGGATTACAGGTGTGAGCCACCGTGCCTGACCGCCACTTTGCTTTTTAAGGATTTTTTAAAAAATGGGTTCTAAATGTTTTGAACTTTGCTTTCCCTGTTTGAAGAAGACATGGGCACCCTTTAGTTCCCCCATAAACTCCAAAGTAAGACCCTGCTTCCTCCTAAGATGAATTTCCAGCTTTGTTGGTTAGAAATGAGTTCAGAAAAGCAATGACTGTTCTGTTTCTTCTTGTTCCTTAGATGGGGCGCATCCAGAAATCTGTCAGCTGCTCCACGGCAGCAGCTCCTGGCCCTTGGCAGGTACCAGGCAGGGCATTAGTACACTTGCCCTGGCTGCGTCTGGGTGGTTCAGAAAGCACCTCCCTGCCCAGGTCTGGCCAGGAGGCCTCGGCCCATCCTGTCCCATGCCTGTCCTTCTTTACCTCTGTCTCAGCACAACCCTGACTATTCAGACGTGGGGCTCCGCCCGGGGATAAGTTAAGCCCCCTCCTTTGCTCCAGTCCTGCCCCGAGTCTGTGGCGATGCCTGTGGAGTAGGGACCCATGAGAGCCTCTGTCAGACTCTCCACCAAGATCCACTGCTTGAAGGCTGAAGCTCATGCACAGAGAGCAAAGCCGCTGCGGCCCCAGGCAGGGCACGAGGCTCACCCAGAAAAAAAGGAGCCCAAGGCTGCTGAAGCCTGAGGAGGGGCCTCGTGCCAAGGCTGTTGCACTAGCAGGGCCAACCCAGGAGGGGTTCTCCAGGAGGCTCCTTCCCTCTCCATGTCCCCTCTCCCGCTCAGCCTCCAAAATCACTGCCCAGATCCTGGCACCCTCTACAGGACGCAGGCCGTGCACCCCCTCGCTCCCCACAGTCTGGCTACGGAATGCCCTCCATTTGAGCTCCAAACCCTCAACGGAGGCAGTGGAGTTTCTAAGAGAACATCTCTTCTGGCTGGTTCCAAGGGACCCCATACACCAGGGGTGCCCTCTGCATCGGGAGTCCTGTGAGAGGAGGTGGGGAGACCTGGGTCAGAGCAGGGAACACTACAGTTTGCTCTGGCAAAGGTTCCTGGGACCTGAACAGCCCAAGCATTTCCTGAGGACCCTAGAAATCCCTTTCTTCTCCCTTCCCGAGCCTACCTGAGGCTGCTCCAGACCTCGCCAGGCCAGTTCTGCGGTCCCCCGGCCCACAGCAGAAAATCTGGGGTTCAAGCAGGTGGGACTCCTGCTGCCAGCCAGGCACCCCAGGGCCCGCCACGGGGAGGGGCTGTGGGTGTGTGTGGGGGTGCTGTGTGGCCATCAGAGACTCAGACTGAGGAGGGAGATGCCGAACAAGCCCGTGCCTGTGGATTGGGCAGAGGGGCTGGCGCTCCGGAGGGAACTGGCCTGGTGTGATGAGGAAGTCACAGGTGACCCCTTCGCCCCCATGGCTGGGGCTGCCCCATTCCAGCCTCCACCTGGGGCGGCAAGGGGTGCAGCATTCTGGGCAGCCTGACTCTCAAGCTGCCCCCAGAGCGGGAGACAACAGGCTGTGCTTCCTTCCCCAAACCTGATGAACACAATGACGCCGGAACCACACAGTGGGGCCAAAAGGGATCCATGGGAGCAGAGGGGCTCTGGGCGGTGCAGGACATCGCTAAGGAGGCAGAGGGAGCATAGGAGACAGTGGGGCACAGGGGGGCAGGGGAGAGGGCTGGAGGTGGCAGGTGAGGAGAAGGGTGGGAGTGAGGGGCCTGTGATGGGGCATGGGCAGGGGGTGAGGGTGGGTGAGGGTGGGGCTGTGGTCTAAGGTACTCCTGAGCCCTAGCTGTGGGGTCTGATCTGCTGATGGGAGGCTCTAGGAGGCCACATGCCCCTACCCTTGCCCAGCATCTGCCCACCCCTCAGGGCACTCCACCCACCCTAGGATCCCACCTGCCCCGGCAGGTGTCTGGATGGGCCACCAGGGACCCTCGAGTCTACCTGGCCAGCAGGCAGGCAGCAGCACGCTCTGTGACATATCTCACCCCAGAAGCTCAGAGCAGGGGGACAGGGCTCCGTTCCACTTTCTACTTTTCTTCTAAGTAGAATATAAAGGAAAACCTCGTCTTCCTCCGCTCCAAGGGCACAGGCCTCTCCAGGCTGTTCTGCAAACTACAAAGTTCCTCCTCAAGGATCCTTAGAAAAGAAGCCAGTGCCCCGAACCCCACAGAAGTCTGGGGCCAAGAGACTCGCCAGTTCTGTCCCTCTCCCTGCCCAGCTCTAGGGGAGGCCCAGTGGCAGCAGAACTGCTCGCACTGCCCATCAGGGACGCGGGCCATGTCGCCAAGGGCAGTTTCCTATTGGTGCAGAGGCAAGTCACATCAAACTACTCCTGTTACTTTAAAAAAAATTCATTTTTCTGGATCAGAAAAGTAATACATACTCATTTTAAAAAGGTTTTTTTTGAGACAGAGTTTTGCTCTCGTTGTCCACCCAGGCTGGAGTGCAATGGCGCAATCTCAGCTCACCACAAACTCCGTCTACTGGGTTCAAGCGATTCTCCTGCCTCAGCCTCCCGAGTAGCTGGGATTACAGGCATGCGCCAGCATGCCCGGCTAATTTTGTATTTTTAAGGGTTTCTCCATGTTGGTCAGGTTGGTCTCGAACTCCCGACCTCAGGTGATCCGCCCACCTTGGCCTCCCAAAGTGCTGGAATTACAGGCGTGAGCCACCGGCCTGGACTAAAAAGAGTTTTTAAATAGACAAAGAAGATACAAATTTAAAATCATCCACAATTTCACTACCTAGTGAGGTCCTCCGTTAGCCTTATTTACGTATTTATTTTTTGAAGACAGGGTCTTGCTCTGTCACCCAGGCTGGAATGCAGTGACACGATCTCGGCTCACTGCAACTTTGAACTCCTGGGTTCAAACCATCCTCCTACCTCAGCTTCCCAAGTAGCTGATGTGCATGTGTGCCACCATGCCTGGCTAATTTTTTTAAGTTTTTGGTAGAGAGGGGGTCTCATTATACTGCCCAGGCTAGTCTCAAACTCCTGGTCTCAAGCAATCCTCCTGTCTTGGCCTCCCAAAATGTTAGGATTACAGGTGTGAGCTACCATGCCTGGTCTCAGGTTTTTTGTTCGTTAGTTTGTTTGTTTGTTTTTAATACACATCTCTGTGGCAGAGCAGGGTGGGCAGAGCCCAGTGGGCAGGGAGTAATGCTGTCAGCTGTCCTTGAGGTGAGATGTACTATTACAAGAGACATCCTTGTCAGGTGTCAGGGTGGCATCTGGCCTGGGCCACAGCAGGCTACCAGTGGCCTATGCTTCCAGGGACTGGGCCCTGTCACCTCCCCAGCTGACATCTGCCATCCCTCAATCTGGTCTCCAGCAGCCAGGCCACCAACAGCCATCTCTGAGACCATCTGTCCCTCTTCATTCCCCCTGGGGAGGGCTGGCCTTGTGGGAAGGGCTGCCTGAGGGTCCACAGGAAGCCCCACCTGGATGGAGCCCAAGTTCCTCCATTCCATCCCCACACTGGGAGGCCCACAGACCCAGGGCCAAGCCCTCTGAACAGGGCCCTGGGCATGGAGGGGAGGTGGCCTCTTGGCTCTGCACTGAGGTTACAAGTTTCCTTTGGCTTCATGCCCATCGCCCTGGGGTGTGGGTGAGCAAGGATGCTCAGGACCAGACGTGAGTCAGAAAGAGCAGCAGGAGTGGGTGAAGGAGGGGTGGTGAGGGTATAAGGGAAGAGGGACAGGACAGCGTGAGGGCTCTGCACCCACCTGGCATCAGCCTCGCTGTAGTATTCTCTCGCCACAATGTCTTCAAAGAGCTCCCCACCAGTGACCCTATGGGAGAAGCATGAAGGGGTCACAGATTCTGGAGACCCCTGTCACACTGTCACCTCCATTACTACCACCACCACCACCACTATCATCGCCATCACTCCCATCATCACTAATGTCACCATCACCAGCATCATCACAATCATCATCACCACCACCAACTACCATCATCACCAACCACCATCACCATCACTACCACCATCACCACCAACCATCACCATCACCACCAACCAACATCACCACCAACCATCACCATCACCACCAACCAACATCACCATCACTACCACTATCACCAGCATCATCACCAGCATCACCACCACCAACTATCATCACCAACCACTATCACCACCACTATCACCACCATCACCACCACCATCACCACCACCACCACCACCACCATCACTACCATCACCATCACCATCACCATCATCACCATCACCATCATCACCATCACCACCACCATCACTACCACCACCCTTACCATCACCACCACTATCACCATCACCACCACCACATCACCACCACCACCATCACCACCACCATCACCACCACCATTAACACCATCACCACCATCACCATCATCAACACCACCATCACCACCACCATCACCACCATCACCACCACCATGACCACCATCACCATCACCATCACCAACACCACTATCGCCATCACCAACACCAACACCATCACCACCATCACCATCATCACTACTATCACTACCATCATCACCATCACCTACACCACCACCACCACCATCATCACCATCACTACCACCACCACCATCATCACTATCACTATCACCACCATCACACCATTACCATTATCATCACCACCACCACCATCACCATCATCACTTGGGACTGACAGCTTACTAGTGCTTACTTATCTATAATGACATTTAACATTTCAGTCCTCACAACCACTCTATGACTTCGGTCTATACTCCATTTTTATGGATGAGCAAACAAGTTTCAAAGATTTGGTGACTTGCACAGAGTGGGCAGCACAGGAGCTTTGTCTCGGGGTCTGCATTGTTACACCCAGGCCTTGTGACTCAAATTCCAAGTCTGAGAAGATCTGGTCTCCCCTCCTCAATACTCTCCCACTCCTACTTAGGGCCAGAGTGGTGGCCCTTGCACAGGATCAGAGGCCCAAAGACACGGTGCCTAAATCTGGCCTCTTTGGTGGCCCGGGGTCTTGAGGTGTTCAAGGTCCCATCTCTAGGAGGAGAACAGAGATGACAGGCAGAAGGGAGGTCTCTGCCCACTCTCCTGCCCTGTGTCTCCACCCAGTGAGTAGTCATTGGGCTCTACGGTCAGGATAGACCCTGTGAGCAGAAGCCACAATCTGAAGGGCCTCTGGGAGCTGGGTAATGTGGGCATGGAACAAAAAGGTGGAGGGGCTGGATGCACGGCAGGGGAGTAGGACAGCCCTCCATAGGTCTGCCCGAGCCCCTCACACACTCAGCCTGCTTGAGTCGGCTGGAAGACTCCCCTAGAAGTTCCCACCCCTGAGAAGGTTAGGGTCTCTGCTCCCACACCACCTCCTGTGACCCTATGTGTGGGGCAGGCCTGTGGGGCCCGAACCCCTCCTCTGCCTCTGCACCCTCTTCCCCATCCCCCCACCTGCTCCACTGCACTGCCCAGGCACTGTGGCTTCTCTATCTGCCTGGCAGTTTTCCCCATTGGTTCTGGAAAGTAGGGCTTAGGTCTTCCTCATTTTTGGGCCCAGCACTTGGGGCTGGGCTGGTCCATGGCAGGGAAGACCCAGGGAGTGGGTCTGTTTAACATGTGACCTTGGCACATGTGGATGCTCTCTCAGCACTGGAGAAAAAGAAAAGTGAGCATGTGTTGAATGTTGGCTCCCCCCTGCTCCAGCTAAACACATGCCCTGATGATCCCATTGAATCCCCTCAACATCCTTCGAGCAATGTGAGGGTGAAATGCACTGGGAAGACACTGGCACCTAGCAGGGCATTAAAGGACTGGGTGTTCCCTTTCCTTTCCCCGTTTTTCTGTCTGGGCTGGGGGCTGGGGGCTGGGGGCAAGGGCTCTGCCTCTGTTGCCTGACTGGCTCTGCTGTTCTGTGTCCCCAACCTGCACCTGACATAAGACCTGGAGCTCTGCTCACCCTTGCTCACTCCTCTGCATGCCTCTCTCACTCCTCATGGGCCAGCACATTTATACAGCCAATCAACCACCAGATCAACCACAAGGAAACAAAACAGTGTTGACAGGGGCCCTTCCCAGGGTCATCTGGTCTGGCTCCTGAGCTTGGCCTGTCCGTGAGGGGGTGTGTGTGCATGTGTTCACATGTGTGGGTGCCTGTGTGTGCCCTTGTGTACATGTATACTGGCTTGTGCATGTGTGCACATGTGCATGTGTGTCTGCATGTCCGTCTGTACCTATGTGTGCCCATGCGTGCACTCATGTTCATGTATATTGTTTTGCATGTGTGCATGCGTGCCTGTGTGCATGTGTGTACAACTGTGTGCCTGTGTGTGCCCTTGTGTACTTGTAGAGCAGTTTGTGCATGTGCACACATGTGTGCATGTGTGTCAGTGTGCATGTTTGTACATGTGTGTGCTTGTGTGTATACATGTGCATTGGGCAGGAGGATCAAATCCCACATCTAGCCCAGCAAGGGTCTGGCATGCCCCAGTGTTGTGCTATAACTGTCTAGGTCTTGGCACACATTAAACACAGATTAGGCTCTGTAGATGCTGAGTCCAGGCACAGAACAGTAGCTAAAAGGCCTTAAGGTCTTGAGCCAGGGCTGCAGCCCAGAGTCCCTCCAAGGGGTGCCTCTCTAGGGCTGGTGCCAGGCCCTCTGGGGTGCTCTGTGTGGTCAGGAAGCTGCACCTGAGACTCCCTGGCCAGGGCCATCTAGTGGTTCAGTTTCAGGGAAGGGAGTTTGCTTCTCCACCCACGTTGGTTGCTGTGGGGAGTTTGGGAGACTCAATACCGGCCCAGGAGGAACATAGTCTGGGAAGGCACACATATGATTTCATGGTCCCCTTTCCTTAGGCTGTGGGGGACACATGGCCGATTCTAGGCTTCAGCCATGGCACCTATGGGAGCTTCTGTCCTCTGGGTGTGCAGGTGTGTGTGAGACCCTCTATTCCCAAGCCTGGCTCTCAAGCCCTGTGACACTCCCAAGCAAGGGGAGTGGGGATATCTGTCAATCCCCTAGAATCCACAGAGTTCCCAAACTACCGTGGAGCCTCAGGGCCTCCTGAGGGCGATGCCAGCCAACTCCAGAAACCACTGTCCCGGCCCTCTGCTGGCCTGAGGCTGGCTGAGGCACAGGGGCCATGGAGGTTTGTGGGGAAGACATGCAGGGTCCTTCCTGACTCACCAGCCAATGTCTTCTTCCCAGCCTGCCTCAGGGCCTCCACTGACACCTGCCTGACATGTGCTTGGCAAGGTGGGAGACATGAGAGTCTCTCAAATGGGCACACACATGCACGAACACACCACCCTTTCTTCTCCTCAGCTCCTGTGACACATGCAGCCATCTGTTGACCACCAGGGCCCCTGGACAGGACCAATCCCACAGTCTCTCCATTTCCTGGGAAAAGAGGCTGATGGAGGTGTGGTGGGGCCCACAGGTGTGCAGCAAGCCTGCCAGCTCCCCAGGGCCACAGGACAGACGTTTCAGGACACAGCCTCAGCCAGGCCGTGGCGACTGTGTCCAGGTCAGCCCCAGTCACCTGGCTGGTGATTGCAGTTGGTGTCTTGTGGGACATGCAGGGGAACCTGAGAGGTGGCCAAGCCCCTGCAGGGACAGTCTCAGCTTCTCTAGGCCAGAGAACCTCACGTGGACAGAGGCCTCCTCAGGCCTACATGTGCCATGGCCTGTCGTCTGTCACTTGAGGAAGGAGGAGCTGAGAGGGCAGTCCCCATGCAGGCGCGTCCTATCTCTGCTTGGCCTGCACGCTCACAGCAGCCATGGGGAGGGCCTGGGGTAACCATGGCAATAGCACCAAGGTTGGGCTTCTCTGGCTGTGCGGCCGCCTGGGGGCCACAGGGCCAGGCTAAGAACTATGGGCCCTTGCCCAGGTCAGGGTCCTGGAGCAGCACTGACTCACAGACAGCTAAATATAGCGCTGCTTAGCAGGAACTGTCAAAAGTGAGGGAGATGAGATCACTGCTTCTAAATCCGGCAGGAAGTGAGAGGCGGCAGCGGCCCCAGACACCTTCTCACTGAGCTACCGCACACACACTCATAAAACACTCACACATGCACATTCATGCACACACACGCACACATGCATGCACACACATGCAAACACACATGCATACACTTGTGCCAGTGTACCCACATGCACATACCTCCACACGCTCACTCACACATTCACACAATACACATGCACATGTATGCACATCCCCACCCATATGTACCCTGATTTCATGTGCTCACACGCCCCCATGTGCAAACACCCACACACACACATACATGTGCACATGCTCACATCTCACAGCCACATTCATAAACACACACATGTGCGCTCACGCCAGCCAGCGGTGTCCCAGTCCTTCGGACGAGGGCTCCAAGGAAAGAAGGGTGAATGCAGCTTCTGACTGACTATTCCTCTGGGGTCCACCCACCCACTGCCTCCAGTGTACCCTGTTCTGTGTGGAGGAGAGGGGGAGCCCAGGATGTCAGCCTTGCCTCCGTGGGCCTCAGTAACCCTAGTGCAAAGCAAATGAGGAGAAGCGAGGGAGGCTGGGCCAGGCACAACTTGGAGCAAGGGGACCAGCAGCAGAAGCACACACAAGGGAGTGGCCAGCCCACGGGTTGGGACTATTCCCTGGGGCTGGGGAGGGTGCAGATCCCACCCTGAGCCAAGGCTGGGAGTGAGTGTGGCGAGAGTCCCCAGCTCTGGAACTTACAGATCGAAGACCAGGTAGTGGAAGCCCTCCTCGGAGATGCTGTCGTGGAGACGCACTGTGGGGACAGAGAAGCCATGAGGGGCTGGCAGTAGCCCAGGACACACCCCCTGCCTGCCTCCATACCTGGCCAGGCACACCACGAGCTGTGTAAGCCCTAGGGCTGCCCACAGGATCGGGCTGGGTAGGGCCTAGGTGGGCAGGGCTGAGCAGAGTGCTTTGGGCCCTGTGGGCCAGCTGACCACCCAGCGAGCACCCACAGGGCCTCTGGGCCCCTGCCCTTTCCTTGCCCTCAGCTGCCAGTCTGGTCACCTGTCTCCTTCTGCCAGAGAGAGACCAGGCCCTTTTGGTCCCAGCCTGGGCCTCAGTTGCTCCCAAACACCATGGAGATGAGCAGGAGGAGCTCACACCGCCAAACCCCAGAAAGGAGCCGCCACGAAGCTCCACGTGAGGAGAAGCTGGGACAAAAACCACTTGTTATTTGTCTTGGGTCTTCCCAGGGCTGCCCTCAGCCTTCAGGCTCTGTGTCTTTGCTGTGTGCTGCCGGCACAGGCTGGCGGGCAGGGTCCCCGCCCAATGCAACATCATCCAAAGGTTGGGCCCTGAGCTCCAAATCCAGAGCTGGCATGGTCAGCAGGATGGACCACCATCATTCCCTCCTTCCTCCCTGCACAGCTTCCCATGACAATCTATGTGCAGCGTGTCTGGCCCTGGAACTCTGCCTGGCGCAGGGCAGGAGCTGGTCAGGATGTGATGAATGAACGAGTGGATAGATGAAGAGGCGAGGGAACAGTGAGTGATTTCAGCACAAAGCAAGCAACCTCAAGGCCTGCTTTTCCTTGAGCTGGAGATGTGCCCTGTACTAAGCAGCAAATATTTTCTAGGAATGACTCATTTTGGACACTCTCCCACGTGCCGATTCTGATGATTGCTAGAACAACGAGGATGATGACAGCCAACACACTAGGGGTGTTCTAAGCACTCTGTGTGTGTTATTTCATTTAACCTTCCCGACCACCCTGAGAAGTTACAGATGAGGAAGCTGAAGCACAGAGAGCTTAGGTAAGCAGCTGACAGTCACACAGCTCACAAAGGCAGAATAGGGCTGTGGACTCAGGGGACAGTCTGGTTTGAGGGCCTGCACCAGCCTCATTCCCTCTAGTCTTCAAGTCCTGGGAAGACGAACCCCTGAGGTGTGGCTCTCCTCCACCACTTGAGACTGGGCCACAGACACTGAACAGGTAAGGCGCAGCTGTCTTCTCCTAGGTTCGCAGGCCCCTGGGCCTCAGGCAGCCCCTTCCTCGGATGCTCCAGCGCTGTTCCAGTTTCTAACTGGCTGCCAGTGCCCTCCCTCCTCTGGCTCTGGTTCTCCCAGGGGCCTGGCCTGATAATGTCCTTACATCCGGGAACTCCATGTGGCCTCTGGGGCCTAGGACTCACCCTACAGATTCCTGGACTCCAGCAGCCCCACACCGATGGCCCTCCTTAGCCCCTAAACCTCAGACAAGATGCCCTCCACCAAGGGCAGGCCAGGCCCCAGAAGCCTCCACAGAGTCAGAAAATATAGGGCAAGCCCTGCCTTTGCCACTTGCTCTGGCTGTGTGACCTGGGGCAGGTTGCTCAGACCATCTAAGCCTCAATCTGCCCCTCTGTGAAATAGTATAAATAGCACCTCTTCACGGGGTGGCCATGAAGATCAATTATGTAACCTTTGTGGTGTTCTGAGACAGTGAGCACTAGGTGAACCACAGCTCTGTGACCATCACTGTCACCATCATCACCTGAATGTGAAGAATCCCAGGTGACCAACGCTCCGCACCAGGGCCTGGGGCCCACTTAGAGCCCTGGGGTTTTTGCAAGCCCAGTGCAAAAAGACCTGCTCCACTTCTCTGCCTCAGGCCCAGTAGCCCAGCCTTCTCCTCTCTGCCCCCACCAAGCCCCATTCTCAAAGAGCAAGGTCTTCCCCAGACCATGTCCTGGGTCAGCTCCCTGGGCGGAGGGCAAATCTTGCCCACCAGGGCTGTCTGGGAGCTGATGCTGACCTCTGTCAAGCAGGGACTCCACCAGCTAAGGCACTTGGTCTGAAACCAATGTCCCCTTTCCCTCTCACCCATCTCTGGCTGACTTCTGTCCCAAGAGCAAGGATGCCCTCTCACTAGGTCCCCTGGACCCTCTCTTCACCCCTACGCAGGCTGGCCTGTGTGTCCCTAAGACATGGCGGATCCTGGAGGCCCACCAACATCCCGCTTCTAGCACTCGCCTGTGAAACCTCTGGAGTTAAAAAACTCACCCCTCCCCACTCCTTTCTAGTGGGGGCTGCCCAATAAGCCCAGCTGGGGGCCCAGCAGGATGGCCCCTCTGAACTGCCCCACCTGGGACATGCTTCATGAAAATCACACACTCAGAGTAGAGGTGATCCCAGGGGCCACGGAGGGGATGCCCCCAACAGAACCCCACGGGCAGCTCCAAGGGAGGCCCTGTCATCCATGAAGGTACCTCACCGCTCCCTGGGGGTGCTGCAGGGCCATCCTCATGGTGGGGGCTGCCCCTGCCCTCAGGCACCCACCTCCCCATGCAGGCCTGGTGGGGTGGGGCAGAGGCAGATGGGCTCTGGGGGTGGCAGTGGGAGGGGGGATCCCACCTCCTCAGCAGGAAGCAGGCTGCTCAGGCCAGATGGAGCACTGGGGGTCTGTGTGGGGAGTCTGGGCCATGTGCATGTGGACACTTTTTAAAAAAACATTTTTAACATTTTAAAAATAGTTATATACTTATTTTAGTGGTTTAAAAGAAAACGTAACTGGCACATCAGACGGCGCATTCACACACAGGGCTAAGTAAAAAAGTGAATTGTCAGAAAATCTATTTAAATAAAAACGGTAAGCAAATAACACTGTGGGCAGCGTACAGAGGTGGTAAATAAATAAAGTCCTGGATTACTAAGAGGAACCAGGGTGAAGAGTCCAGTCTGGATGCAGTGGGACGGTGGGCAGCGGCGAATCTCTCCAGGGGCTAAGCTGCAGCAGTGGGACCCTGAGAGCCCACCGGGGGCTGCAGCCTGGCGCGCGCCCTGGAGTTGGGGCTGCCGCTTTCCATGCTGGGGTCCTGCTGGGTCCACTGGGGCACCTGCCCCTCTGCCCAGCTCATTGGTGAAGCATTGGATGAGGTAAGGTGGTTCCAGTCCCCTAAACCAGGCGATGAGGGTTCGGCGACCTTCGGAGCCAGGCCCAGGTGAGTGTGTGGATGCCCCAGGCTCCTAAACAGGCTCCCAGTCCCCAGCTGTTCCTTTGGAACAAGCACACCTGGGGTCCTCCTGGCATAAGTGAATCAGAGCTTTGGAGGAAAGGGCCCAAAATCCACCTGACAGCTCCCCGCGTGCGTCTGAGGCCAAGAGCGGCTGCCATCCCCAGGGCGTTTCCTGGCTGCTCCCCAACATGGGCAAGGCCTGGGCTCCAGGCTCCAGATGCCCCCGTGGAGCAGCTGACTCTGGGCCAGGGTCACTTGACCTCAGACCGTAGTTCCAGAAGCCCTGGGCCAGCAAAAGAAAACAGTAGGGGCTCTCAGCCCGAGGACGGCATGCGCTGGGGTCTTTGGTCAGTCTTTGTTTTCCTTGTAATTGGGCCATCTTGTGGCTTTTTTGAGGCCACAGAATGTTGAGGCCCCTGTGTGTTCTCAGCAGAATGGTGGCTCAGTGTTATGGTGGCTCAGAGTTATGGGGGTTACATGCTGGGCACTGGCTCAGCGGAAGGCTCTGTGAGGAATGTGTCCTTTACCTTCCTCTGCAGCCACTGTCACCAATGCCACAGACAAGACCCAAAGGACAGAGTGGGGTGGGGAGGGGACCTGTCCAGTTGGGTGGAGCTGGGCACCCAGAGCCCCGCCTTGGGGCTGCCCTGGCTCTGAGCACTCCCTGGAATCATGTCACACAGGACAAAGTCCTCAAGGTCAGGGGAGGAAAGGGGGCGTCCTCAGGGGCTTCCGGTGGGATATTTCAACAGAGAAGAAAAGGAAGTCTTTCTGTATCTCTTTGAAAGTCTGATAGAGAAACCGGAACAGGATCCATCCCCCCGCCCACCCCGGGCCGCTCACCGATATTGGAATGCTTCAGAAGGCGGCAGATCCGAGCCTCTCTCTCCAACTTCTGGTGATCTGGGGGACAGAAAAGAACAAGGCGTCACCTCCTGCCCCAGCAACTGGTGGCCCACGGATTGTCCATGTCAGGAGAGGCCCACCAGGGTGTGCCAGGGCCTCTGATGAAGCGAGGAGTGGTTGTGACCCCACAGTGAGTAGTCGTGCCCCCGCCAAGGGAACACCCTTCGTGGGCACCCCCTGGGCCACTGGTGGCAAGGCTGGGGCAGGGACCAGCTGGCTTGTGTTTGGGGTGGAGAGGCCCATTCAGGTGGTGAGCGCTACTAACTCGGGGCTAAAAGTTTCCCTGGATGATTCAAAGTCAGCAGTGCACTGATTTAATCCTCCACTTATTTGTCCTAATTCCATACTCTTTGGAGCTTTTGGCTGAAGCCAAATTTGTTCTTCCGAGGCAGGGGAGGGGCTATCAGAATGGGGCCGGGAGGGGGTGAGGGTGTGCCCCGGAGCCGGCTGGCAGGAGGAGGAGGGGAAAGCCTCAGAGAGGCCTTGCTTGGGGGATAGGAGTAAACTGGTGGTGAAGCAGGAGGTGGCCCCTCCTTCCCTCACCACTCTCCTCCCACCCCACAAGGTGCAGGGCCCAGATATCTGGACACTGGAGGTGTGGAGGTGACTGGTGCCCCTTGGGTGACCCCTCCACTGGCCCCCAAAGGATGGAGCAACTTATCTGCCAGAAATTTTACATTTCAATTACAGGCAGGAGGCTTTTAAAAACTGATGGAGATTGTAATAGCAAAACCCAAAACCCCATACTTCCTCTGACAGGACTCCATGCGCTGCAGTCCCACAGGGTCCCATACAGCAATGCAACAAAGTCCTCCACCAACCCCCACGTGCAGGTAGCACCCACATCCTAATAGTATGTAGGGAACGAGCAGCAAAGGAGGACTCACAGTGTGCTCTTATTTACACAAAGGTCGAAACTAGACAGTCGGTGGGCACAGCCGCGCATGGGGAGCTGCGAGGAAAGGACAGTGCATTTCAGAGTTCAGGACGTGACTGGGGAGGGCGCATCGGTGTCTGGAGCCCCCTCCACCTGCCCAGTGCTGAGTCCCACCACAGGAAAGGTGAGCAGGGCCAGGGGGCACATAATTAATACACAAGATAAGACCTCGGGGATGCCTCCTTCGCCAGGAATGCCCAGTAGCGCCCAGGAGCAGGGAAAGAATGAGGCTGCAACTTCACAATCTTCCTCGGGAGGCACTGAAACCTCTGATCCCTGGGCTTAGCAGAAACTTGTCTGCCTGCAGGAAGGGAGGCCTGGCCGAGTCATGTTTGGGGTCAGTTCCCCTGGAGCAGGTGTGGCGGTGGTGGCCTGGGGTATAGGACATGCCTGCAAACACGTATAGGCCTTGAGTGAGAAAGCCACGCCTGCAGATGGGAAGGTCTCTGGGAGCGGCATCCCCCGACTTCCCCCTCCCAGGACAGGCATTCGTCTCCCTGCCCTGGCCACCTGGCTGCCATCTGCTTCAAGCCCAGCCGCTTGGCATCCCACGAGAGGGATTCAGAGGGATCTGACAGAGCCTCCAGGTGGCACAGAGGGAGTCAAACCCCACCCCGCTGTTTTGCTGGAAGCCCAGGGCATACCTGCTCCCTCCCCCACCTGCACACCCACCTCAGCAAGCACTGCACAGTCTTCTAGAACACCCCAGTCCCTGCTCCCTCTCCCTCTCCTCTCCCCTCCCACTGAAGTGGGAGCTGAGGTGCCAGGAGCCTCAGGGATTTGTGATGGCAGAACTGGAATCAGCCCAAGTGTCTGTCAGCATCAGAATGGAAAAATCAAACATAGTCCTAATAGAATACACACGGTGTGGGCTCCGTTTTCCTATCTGCATGGAGCTCAAAACCCAGCAACACTGGACACACCTGCGGAGGGGAGGGGTCCATGCACGAGGCCTGGCTCCAGTGGAAAGCAGGGGATGGATTCTTGTAACACCCCCAACCCTCATCCCTCTGGGGTGGGAGGAGGGAGGGCTCTCAGTGTGCAGGGCGGTGAGTTCATGGGGTTATTGTTTTATTTCCTAGTGTCTTTCTTACACTGATTCTGAACATTTTTCAGACATAGAGAAACACTGCAACAATAGTACACAGCAATCGTGTACAGCACTTCTGTACAATCTCCCTGCCCCGCCCCGCTTCCATATGACACACTCGCTTTTTCTGACGCGTGTGTAACACCAGGCAGCACTCAGGTGTGTCTCATAAGGACAGGGTGTCCCTTCCATAATCTCAATGCAGGTCCTAGATTCAGTAAATCGAATGCAGATATGACACTCATGTCTCTAAGCTACAATCCACGTTCCACCTTTCCAACCTGTCCCAATAAAGTTGATGGCTAATCTTTCCCCAGGACAGGATCCAAGCCCAGGACCACACATCGCCACGGGACGTGTGGGCCAGCGCCAGGCTGAGGGAAAGGAGGACCTGGGAGAGAGGCGGTGGAACCATGGCACATAGTTTCCTTTTGAAAAATTGCCTGATTAGAGTTAAATCAATAAAATCATAAATCCAAATCAGGAGAAAGATGCAATTATGAACGCACTCTCCTGGGACACAGATAATTTACATGCCTGTGTTTTATTACTGAAACATCGCCAAGAGCTGAGCCCCAGCCCAAAGATGATACCTATTCCTGAGCACGTGTTTAGGGAGATAATTATTTGTGTGGGGCGAAGAAAGGGCATCTGGCTGCCCAGTCCTGGCACCAGGTGTCCACTCATGGTGGCCATACAGATTGCTGACTGGTCCTCTTTCTGTAACACCCACAACAGCACCTCGACCACCTCCTCCCAGCAGCTGCAGTAGGTTAGCGCTCAGAGAGCCGCTTGGAAACCATCAACCATGACACAAGATCTAAGCTGGTAACATCCAGACACACACGTCGTATAGCGTGCTTCACTCTCGGTGCCAGGTTTATGGCTAATGTTGTTTTATTCGTTAACTTCCCCTCCCCCAGTTTTGACAGTGATCATGTGTTACTTCCATAATTTAGCAAAGCATTGTTTTTAAAAAAGATTTTGATCCTGTCTCCAGTGAGCAAGCTACTGATTCAATATGACAAGGATGTTTCATAAAATCTGCTATGGTAACATTTGCCCTTAAATTTTAAAAAATCAGGCAAAAAATAAATCTAAGCGGATATAAGGTGACTCTGGATGGGACTGAGAAGCCACAAGAAGGAGGGGGCAGGAGGAGGCGGCATTCTCTCTGGACCTGGCTCAGACAGCCCCATCTCAGGGCAGGCCAGAATCCAGCTTCCTAACTCTGTGCATATACTATGATTTCCTTTCTACAAAACCAGGGACATTATTCTCAGCTTCCACATTCACATCGTAAACCCCTTGTCATGAACAAGGTTAAGTAAGTTAAACTGAACCCAATCCAGTGCATAAGAAATGTGCCCTGGCCCTAAACAGTACAGCAGAACCTGGCCCTCGACAGTACAGAGGAATCTGGGGGAAGCCCCAGTTCAGTCCTGTTCCCTGCCCCAGACAGTGGAGCAACCACATCTTGCTCATCCCTGCCTGCCAGCCTCATTCTGGGGGGCTCTGGTCCCCAGGGAATCTGCTGGACTCAGGAGACCAGAGCAGTGGCCACTGAGCAGGTCCCGAGGCCAGCAGGCCTGTGGCGAGAACACAGCCGGAAGTCTGCCAGCAGCGGCTCCCTACCTGTCCAGGGCCCTGTCAATGCCCCCGGGACCCTAGCAGGGCATCCCTTCCTGAAGGAGGTCCCAAGAGGCCTCCTGAGTGGCCAGCCCTGGCTATGCCCACTACAGTGACGTCCTGGTCAGGGCCAGGCAGTGAGTCACGTAGCTCATCCAGGTGACCCAGTAAGAGGGGCTCACCAGGTGTGGGGGCTGTGGGGGCTGAGTGGCCAGGCCTCAGGGCTGTGCTAGGTTCTCTGAGGGGCCTGGAGTTGGGACGCTCAGGGTCACCCAAGACCCCTGATGCTCTTCATCCTCACTGCCACATCTCACAGCTGGGCAGGGATGTCCGTGTGGTTAACATTTTATTAGGTAGTATTGATGCAAGTCACAGAAGAGGTGCCACACCTCTGTAGGTTGTGAATCCAACGACAAGGAAACCCCAAGAGCCTACTCCACCCGACAGCTGGTGCCTGGTCAATTCCTCAGAAGGTGCTGGATCCCCTCTCCCCATCGGCCAATGTCAGGCTCAGGCTCATGGCACTTCTACGCGCGCACTGGCTCCCAGAACTGCAGTTCCCTGCGATGCTGAGTTTTCCTAAAGGAGTCTAAGAACAGCCTCTGACACAGACCATGGGACAGAAAGCAGCGGCTGGGGAGTGAGGACACAGGCTGAGCCCCTCCCAACCTCCAGGGGACCTCACCCCATCAAGAGGAGACCCCTCTGCCCTCCTGCCCTCCCTCTTCTTCTCCCATCCCAAGACCCCTGGCCAAGGTCTTGGGGGTCCAGGGCAGACAGTCCCTGGGGCACAAAAAGCCAATGACAGCAGTGCCTGTGCCTCTTGTTATAGCAGAGTGATGAGCAGAGTGTTCTCAGACCCTGATTCTGCCTGTGGAGACTCAAGAGGTGATGCTTCAGTGGGGTTTTAGAGGATGAGTAGGAGTTTGCCTACTCATGCTGGAAAAAGACTTGGTTCTCACACCCCCTCTGATGTGAAGCTTGGAGAGGGAACTCGAGTTCAACCAGCTCCTAAACGCTTGGGCATCTTGCAAATCTGCACCCTAAACGGAGGCAAGGGCGTATGTGTGTGGGCCTGTATTTAAGCCAGAAGGTGACTGACCCATCAGTGCGGATGCAATTCTACACATGCGCACACGTGTGTACACATTTACACACCGGCTCCCTAAGGGGGTGGCTCAGAGAGACGCTGGCAAAAGCATTGCTATTTATTTCTCCTACCAGAGAAACATCCCACAGATCAAATACAGCATTCATTTATACCCCCATAAAAGCATTTATCAAAAAACCCCCCAAACAACAATAAACCCCATAAACAATTGTCCTCAAAAAGATCAGGCT